AATGATGATGAAGCATCCATGCGACTTAAAATTCACACTGGATGATGTGGTGTATCTTCCATGAGGAATAGGAGACCATATTAGGCAACCAACATATGTAGTACCTAGCTATGCACTACAAGAAAAACGATTTAAGGTGGCGGTCATATAACCACCGGATTAGATCTAAGGCGGTGATCATTGGTCTGCATATAAGTAGCTGTCGGGCTAGATCAAGACCACTGCCTTAGATAAAAGAGACCGCCACCTTTAGTGGTTGGTCCGAGGCGGTCCAAACTTCTTTAACGTGGCGGTCTGTCAAAACCGCTGGCTTAATTGTTATTAAAGGCGGCATTTTTTACCATCGGCTTAGGTTTTGTCAAAAAATGTTTGGTTCTTTAGGTGGTGGTTCGAACCGCCGACTTTGTTCCCAGTTGACTGCCGCCTTAGGTTTAGTCCAACTCTTAGGTGCTGGTCTGAACTGTCGGCTTAGATCCAAATGACCGCTGCCTTAGGTCTTGTTTATGGCTAATCCAACAGTTACATGACTGCCCACTTAGATATATATACATTTTTTAATTTTTAAGCCAGGTTAAAATCTGATATTTGTTGGCACCTCCACTTTTTTAATTTATTGATTCATTACTTTAATACCTACTTAATAAATAATTCATGATAATTGATACATGAAAAGTTAAGCAACTTAAATATAAAATGCAATTTAAAACAAAATATATTAAATTAGAGATTAATTAATATCCAAATCAAATTGTTCAAATACAATATCCAATTGACATATAAAAATACAAGGACTTTAAAAAAATTCAATTTATCGAATAAGGTAGCACAACTTCCAATGAAAATCCACTTAGCATAATTGTTAAACCAGTAAATCAAAAACATATAAATTGTTAGAGAATGTAAAGTAAATGAGATAACCATAAAAAATGTATAAAAACAAGACATTCAAGGAGGCATCACAATTTAGCATTCATATATCAATAAATGAATTATGCAACTAGTAAATCAACCAAACCAAATTGTAACCTCTATGTCATGGCAGAGTTAATGTAATCAGATTGGAGCACATAAAAGCACATTTGGATGACTGGTTTGGATTTAATAGATAAAAAATGTAAAATATTCCAAATAATGAATCCAATCTACCCATTTAAAAGTTGTGCCATATATATCCTTTCACTAACCTTGTAAAGCTCAGAATCACAACTTATAGTTCTATTAATTATATTATTTTTCTTGGAAAATGTCAGTTTGCATATATCGATCATCAATGTTAGTAGCAGAAAGGCTATAGCTGAACAAGAAAGGTAAAAATATTAACCTTATTCATATGGTATAAATAAGCAATTTAGCACTTACAGAGGAGCTCCATAGAGCTCTTTCAACATCATCAAATGGTGTAAAGGAGTCCCCAACTTTGCTTAGTTCCCGTGTATAACCATCAACGAAGTAACAAATCAATCAAACCCTAATGAAATCAAAAGATGAGTTTATAGCATGCTCAACAGGATGGTTCTAGTATAAACAGAACATACACATCAAACATAAATAGCTCAAAGTCTTACCATATAAGAAAAAGTAAAAACCATACATGAGCCATTCAAGAATGTCTGCTTCATGTGAGAAACCCAACATTCTTGTCTAGAATCTTTTATTTATGAGGAGGGAAGAACAGATGATTAAGATCAAATTCAATTAGATGGTATAAAAATACTACCATAGAAAATTAGTGATTTATGGATTACCTTTTTTATTATGGTTTCCTTTTTCCATGTTTCAACACCCCTAAAAAATGTCTTAGTAGAAGTGCCTGTAGCCCACAATGACAAATCAAGAATCACAACACCATAATCAATCAAGAATTCATTCGAACTCAAATATGTAGAATTGGAGAAATGCCACTGGAACAACCATTACCTATGAATATGAAGAGGATAATGAGTAGGACTATAACCATCCAGTCAACAAAGATCACATTGAAAATTCTTTAGTGAAATTTCCTTGTTGGCCTTGTTTACTTCTATGCAAATTGAAAATTCTCCAGTGAAATTCCCTTGTTCTATGTTCACAAGGTGAAGGTTTCCAGAGATGTAAATTTAGCCATCCATTTGGTTCCCCCTTCAATACTGATTGACAATGGTTGTAATATGTAAAAAGTTGATGTCATTAACTAACTAACAAGATGATCTATGTTAAATTGCTAATGCTAAGCAAAGCTATAGAAGAACAAAAGAATAAAATGAATAAAATGGCCCACCCTGTTTTGAACCAGACCCAACACTAACCTAAACCAAACCCATAATGGTAATGCATTGGACTAGAGTAAGGACTCTAAGATATATTTTGACTTCTAGATTTTAATTTGGGCCATTATTCAACTAATATGGCCTACAATATCAAAATTAGTTGTTAATCCCATGTGTGCCTGTAGAGCTAATGGCATTTGTCCAATAATAAGCATTCCTACACAGAAAATTTTAAGATCTTGAGGGGCTGTTGGTTGTTATTGTGGTGTGCTAAGTATGTATGAGCTATTTGGATTGCTCTCCAACATGTAGAATATTCATCTGGTGAGAAAAAAAAAAAAAACAAATTTTCTAGTAGGAGCGATACCAAAAGTAGTCAACCCAAGCTTCACTCCCTTCAACCCTAATTCAATTTTCTTCATAGCCTTTCTATAACATGTGTGTGTAAGAATAGTTTCTATGTAGGGTTATACATACAAACAAGTTTGGTTAAAGCTTTTGTCATCAATGTCAATTTTGTGATTTGAAAGGAAGAAAGAAAACCCCTTGAAAATAAAAGGCATGACTTCTTGGATGAATAACCTCTGCACAAGTGGTTCCTAGTTCAAAGAACTATGAATAAATGAGGAGAGGGTCCATTCATGGTACAAAGAACTACAGCATACTGTATCTTCCTCTATCCAAAATGATAGATAAGAACCTTTTTTTCCCTAATCACAATGTTTGATAATATAATTTAGATGATGAACAAAACAAGAAAACCAATTATCAAAATCCCTTCTTTCTTTTAACCAAGGTATTTGAAATCAAATGAAAATTAAATGGAGTCAAATAATCATCTATGTATTGAAAATTTGAAAAAAAAAATAGAAAGTATGAAAGCATGAACCTTTAAAGTGAATGTTCTTGTAGCCACTTGAGCAGTCCTGCAACCATTTGCATTGACTACATTCCTCATTAATAACATGCAAATTAATTAGGATAACCAACAAAAATTAATCTACTGTTAGAGTAATCCCTCAATGACCAAAATTTAGAAATCAAGAAAGGAAATCACAACAAGATTCAATGAACTCCAAACTCCAAAACCGTAACCCCTTGAACTTTAAAGTTGAATTTCCTGCATGAGGTTAAACTATCTGTTGTCCCTGGGTTTGCAAATTAGCAAGGTAGAAGATTTAATTAAGCAATTTTTACTGATTACTTTTAGGAAAGAATCTGTAGTTGATATTAGAAACTCATATATATGATATATTCTAAATACACACCAAAATATTGTAGCCAATTAAATAGCAAACATCCAATAGCATGGGCTACTTTTGGATTTCATATAAAAACTTACAGGTACCTTTGAAATACGTTGAGTCAAATGGTCATACACCAACCAATCACTCCAATGAGGCAAAATGTTCAAAGCAAAACAACAACGTCTGACCCCAAATCCCTTATGATTTTGTAGGAAATTATAAAAAAAATGACGAGGGAAATTAGAATGAATTTACCCATTAAGAGTTCACAGATCAAGTAAAAGAAAAAGGATAAACGAGAAAGAAAAAGAAGAGTAAAAACCTGGGTAAATTGCAATCTTTAGGTTGCCACCGCCACTTGGTGTAGATATTATCAGGCCTTCCATTCTAAGAAACCGGAACCCTTCATCCAAAAATCTGAAATCTTACTGGTACAAGGGGTATTGTTCATCCTAGACCCACTCTCCTTTAAACAAATCATGCCCTTCACCATCCTCTCTTAAGAACCCTGCCCTTTCATCCCGAGCAGTAATAGTAAAACCTAATCACCTAAACTTTGACTGTCCACGAATGCGAAGCCCTCTAGTGACAACCATGTATGTAGTCCAAGTAAAAGAAACAATACATAAAGAACAAGGCTATAACAAAGAAAAACCCAGGAGTCCCCAAAGATGGCTTATGCGGTTTCAGTCGCTTAACCCTTTTCAAAATCTCCCAGTAAGGCATGGTTACAAGGTCTTGAGCAAGTGGGATTTTAATCATTTGGAAGGAAATGACTGATGAAATGGGCTATTCTTGAAGAAACTCAAAATGGGTTTTGAAAGGGACAACTATCTTCCCTTGTGCAAGCCCAACACCGATGAAACATTTCTCCACCAATGACTCAAAGAGCAACGAAGAAGAAAGATTGTTTGGAATCTATGGCTTCCTCTGCGAAGAACAACCGAGAAGAAAGATTTTCGGAATAGAAGTTAGACTCCCTCTCTTTGGACTTGAACACAATGCACGAAGGAGCAGAACATTGCGGGACTCCCTCGAATAAAATAGGGATGGATCTGTTCAAATCCGGTTCAAAATTACAAACAATGGAAAGACCGCTGTCCAATGCGTGTTCATAAATGTTTTGTTTTTCTAGGCGGCGGTCTCTTTGAAACCGCCACCTTAATATTCTGGTACCCTAAAACTGCCGCTAGAGTTTTTACCGGCAGTCAGCAAACTGCCGTTAAAAGAACTGTCCCTAAAATGTTCTGGCTGCAGTTGTAACGGCTGCTGATATAAATGCTCAACTGCCGCTAAAAGTATATATATATTTTTTCAAATAACCAATTTTTTTCTAATTTTTTCAAACTACCTGTTTTCTCTATATTCATTTATACGGAAATAAAATACAAAAAAAAAACATCAATTACAAGATAGTTTGATCAAGATCAGAATTCACCTCAAAAATTTTTCATTAATAAATATGAAAAAGAATTTATTGATTAATGTTTGCATTGGGGATATTTTCTCCTTGGTCATGTACAAAAGTAAATTTATATATGCATTGGAGTGGCAAAGTAGATGCTTAATTTGCAAATTGATCGAGTTGAAGAGATTGATTCAATGTCAATGTGCTTTCCCTGCAGGTCACTTTGAAAACCAGAGATTTTAAGCTTGAATACTAGTCCTTTCTCMATTCAACGGCTTTGAAATATATTTTGCCTTCCCACTTCTTTGTAACCACTAACCAGCAGTGTGATTTAATTTAGACTTGGGATCTGGTGATGTTGCAGCAGAGAATGTCAACCAAGCTGCAGATCTGTTAATTCGACCTCTTCAATTGATTTGAGGCTCCTGCATTCCTCTCCTCTCATGATCACTAGCCACTCAAACGAGAAGTAAGGTCGAGAAATTGATCTTCATTGCAAGCTGCAGATCTTCAATTGATTTGAGGCTCCTGCATTCCTCTCCTCTCCTCTCATGATCACATGCCCCCAGAAAAATGAAAAGAATAGAGGAGTGCAGTTGGCTTCTTCCAACTGCCAATTCTCAGACTCCTATAGAATGACAAATCCAAAATAACATATTAATCATTTGACATTTAGCAACTTTGGCTGACTTTTGAGATGTGAAGCTCAGTCATGGATCTTTATTTTGGAGGCAAGGTAACACAAATGGGGGAAGGAGAATAAAACTAACCATATTCTTTATGGATCTCAAAAAAAGAAAACCAAATTGAGTGGAAAGGCATGACAAAGAACAGGCAAGCARAAATAAAAGAAAAAAGAAATAATTATATCAACATACAGACTATAATTCCTTTAATTAAACAAAATGCACCCCATCATTAAGAACCATCTCCAAGGTGGAATATAAATGCGTTATAAACTATAAAGCAACATTTTAAAACCCAAGCCAGAGGCTGGACTGCTTTGTCCTTTGGCTGGACAGATCACCAGTTCAACCATCTGGGTCAACAGGTCAACCCATGGCATCGTGACAAGAAAAATTTCAGAAGAAATAAAACATTATAAAAGCCCAGCAACAAAGCAAAGATTTTTTATAAAATAGTGAGATATAGGTTGATCCAAACAAAAACTGTGAGCAGCTTTCTCACTTTATCTTCCCAAGCAAATACAAAATTATATATTTTTGTACATGAATACAAGTAAAGAAATTTGTACCCCCGATGGGCTGGAAGGTCCTGTCTTAGTCTCACTTGTTTTGACATAAAGCCATTGTGGAGACAAAGGTATGCTGCTCTCTGACATTACCTGATCTGCAATATTTACCAAATAAACAACCAATGTAAGCATTAAACATTTCCATAAGAACAAAACCCACAAAGAGAATAAKTTAGGTAGGACATGCCAGAACAGGAATAAGTATGCTGATGGAAGATGGTCATGTTTCATTTAAAAAGGGAGAAACTGTTTAAGATGTGAGAAAAAAGATACAACCTTTGGATTCATCAAGAAACCCCATTAGCACCTTGTCTTCGTCATTTCCTCCAAACATATCATCATCTAACATGGCATAAAATATATGAGAACGGGAAAAACCTCCACTTTAGTTAAGTTCAATTAAAATAAAGAAGTTAGCATTGACAAATGCCACAAACCAGAGGGGTGCAAATTGGGTACCCTGTTTGGAAATTTTCTACAGCATCAGGCAGCATTGGGCCTGGGCCCTTTCAAAATTTAACAAATGCTCAATCCAGGCCCAGCCAAGTTGCACCCCAAAATCGGAAACTGATCATAAAGATAGCAGAGAAATAAAAGTCACAGAAATGCACATTTCTTATAGAGAGAGTGAACATAGAGGGAAAAATTATCCTGAGATGTACAGCTTCAGTTCCATAAGAAAATTGACAGAACAATCTCAAGTCAATTCAAACACTACTGGCACTGGCAACCTGTTTACCATTTACTGCTAAGGACCAAAGTCATGCAACAAAACTTACAGGCAAAATCCTAGGTGAAAGCAGAACTGGCAACAAAGCACTAGTAATAGAAAATGTGTAACACCATACATAATGAATTCAATGAGAATATCGAATTTTTACATCTACTTACTAGCTACTTTCCTTATTCAAACAGAAAGTTTGAATGCCTTCAACTCCAGAAAGTGAATGCCTTCAACTCCAGAAAGTGAATGCCTTCAACTCCAGAAAGATCAGTTAACTAAAGACAGAGGGATCCAACATCAAAATTTAATAAAAAAGAAAAAAAAAAAATCCAGAGTTTGAAATCCATCAAACTTCAGACTTAGGGGCTATTTGATAGCATCTGAAGTGGCTGAGGTGAATCACTAATTGTTTTTTTTTTTTTTTTGGTGAATAAGTGATTAAGGAGATTGTGAGCTCCTTAATTATTTTACCCACTATAAGATAATGCAATAAGTAATTCAGGTCAACCACTTCAGTCATTATCAACAGTCTCTCACTATAAATATGGAGAAAACTCATAGAAAAAACTGGGCATATGCCTAWTATTATATATTCATCATGTTAAACAAAAAATAAATGGTGTTAGAATCTTGCATCCCTTTCATGGTGTTAGAATCTGATCGCCACCACAGCAAACCCAAGATAGTTGCAGTAGCAAGAACTTGAGTAATTCTCAACCAACTCAAATAATCATGGCGCCTTTCTTTCAGGCCTCTCTAGAATAGGATGGAGTACTGTTGCCACCAGCTTGACCCCCATTCTCGTCTTGGAGAAGATACCTTTGATTTAAGTTCTTCATCAATGGAGATTGACACCATAAGCTTCTATTTATCCTCTGCAACTCGTGTCTCATAGGCTTCCACATGGTACTGTTTTCATCCAGCATAAGCGACAGTCAGAACCTACTATTTTCTAGTTACAGCAAGAATGACTTATTATGTCCGACTTTATGACAATTTAGCATAAAAATTGATGAGAACTTGATTTTCTAAATGTTGGTATAGAATTAAAGTAAGATTTCAGCTTCTAATATTCCAAGTGAATTAAATTCTGTTATTTTTAGAGAGATCATGTCCTTTGGAGAGAGATTCAAAGACAACTTTTTACCTCATGCACAACTACTGGAGATGGCTTCCCATTCCTTGTTTCAGTTTCCAAATTTCCCAATTGCACTTTATCCTCTAGTTCTGATGGTACAGAAACATCATTTATGTTTCCATTGGCAAGATCTAGCAAAAATTCTGCCGGGTTCATGGCTATAAGTGCGGAGCATCCCATGGACGAGACATAAACCATTGCTTCAGATGCCTTTCCAAAGTATGGCAGGCTCCCTTTCCTGAGAAGTATTTATAAATAAATACTTCTTTCTCTAATTAATTTGTACCTTTTAGCTTTTCAGCATTTATATCTTATACACACACAACTCTTTCTAATGCTTGTTAGCCGTGTTTATAAATAAACCATTGCTTCTGATGCCTT